ACACTTCCAACTTACATTTTCTGAGAGAGAACCACCTACCCTTGTGTTGAGGTCAAGATATTCCATTCCTACCACATGAATCTTGATCTCTAGCCTTCCCCAAGTTGCTTTCCACTCAAATCTTCTTTCTACCAAATCCAAATCCTGTGAGAGAGAGTTGAGTGTTGGGGAGACTATCATTTGAAGCACAAGAGCAAGGAGTTCATCATCAACACACCGTTTGTTACTTCTTGGAGAGTGGTGTCTCCTAGATTGGCTAGGTGTCACTTGGGATCCCCCGACAAGATTGTGGAGTTGAACCAAGGAGTTTGTACGGGCAAGGAGATCGCCTACTTCGTGAAGATCTACCCCTAGTGAGGCAAGTCCTTCATGGGCGACGGCCATGGTGGGATAGACAAGGTTGCTTCTTCGTGCACCCTTCTTAGGTGGAGCCCTCCGTGGACTTGCGCAGCCGTTACCCTTCGTGGGTTGAAGTCTCCATCAACGTGGATGTACGATAGCACCACCTATCGGAACCATGACAAAAACATATGTGTCTCCTATTGCGTTTGCACTCTCCAAACCCTTCCCTTTACATTCTTGCAAGTTGCATGCTTTACTTTCCGCTGCTCATATACTCTTTGCATGCTTGCTTGAATTGTGTTAAGATTGCTTGACTTGTCCATCTTTGTTAAAAACTGCCAAGAACTAAAATTGGGAAAAGGATAAGTTTTTATTTAGTCAAGTAGTCTAATCACCCCCCCCCTATAGACATACTTTCGATCCTACAAGGGGGCTCTAATGGAGTGGTGGAGGGGCAAAGAAGAGGGGGAGGGAGGGGGCCTCTAATGGAGGGGTGGTGGAGGGGCAAAGAAGAGGGGGAGGGAGGGCTCTAATGGAGTGGTGGTGGAGGGGGAGCATTGAAAGGGACAAGCAAGGTGCAAGGAAAGGGGAAGAAAGGAAGGGGGAAGAAGAGAGGGGAGGAAGAAGGGGAAAGGTGGTAGGTGCCTAGCGGGCATAGCAGTAGCACGGGTCACCTATACGTGCTACTGCTATGGCATCTTGCAAAATATCTATGGCTAGTGTTGCACTACTTATAGCGCGGGCCAGAAACACATGCTATTGGCAAAATGTTATACATAGAAAAATTAGTAGTAGCGCGCTTAGATAAATAGGCGCTATAGATCCTAAACTAGCAGTAGCACAGGTTGGACGACAGGCGCTGCTACTATTTTTTGACCAGGGGGTGTGGTGTGTTACACTTAGCAGTAGCGTGGGTCTAGGTAACAAGCTCTGCTGCTAACTGATACCAATAGCGCTCTTTATAGCCAGGGCTACTACTAACTACTAGTAGCGTGGGGTTATAAACAAACGCTACTGGTAAACTTCTATCTATAAGCATTTTCCTAGTAGTGTCCCCTTTCCTTCTCCTATTACCTCTCCCTTCCCCCTTTTTCCCCTCCGGAAGAAGGAAAAAGAGGGGGGGGGGTGCGAATCCTACTAGGAGTGGAGTCCTACTAGGACTCCCCCTCCTTTGGCACGCCCCTGGTGGCTGGCCTCCTCCCCTCCTCCTTTATATACGGGGGCGGGGGGCACCCCAAAGCACATCAATTGTTTAGCCATGTGCGGGGGCCCCCTCCGTCGTTTACTCCTCCGGTCATATTGTCATAGTGCTTAGGTGAAGCCCTGTACGGATCACTTCACCAACACCATCATCACGTCGTCGTGCTGACGGAACTCATCGACTCCTTCGTACCTCTACTGGATCAAGAGTTTGAGGGACGTCATCGAGCTGAATGTGTGCAGAACTCAGAGGTGTCGTACGTTCGGTACTTGATCGGTTGATTCGAGAAGACGTTTGACTACATCAACTACGTTAAATTAACGCTTCCGCTTTCGGTCTACGAGGGTACATGGACACACTCTCCCCCTCTCATTGCTATGCATCTCCTAAATAGATCTTGCATGAGCGTAGGATTTTTTTTGAAATTGCATGCTATGTTTCCCAACATGATCAATGAGCTAGTCCAGTAGAGGAATACTAGGGACACGATGTTTTCTCTATGTATTCACACATGTGTCAAGTTTCCGGTTAAGACAATTCTAGCATGAATAATAAACATTTATCATGAATAAGGAAATATAAAATAACAACTTTATTATTGCCTCTAGGGCATATTTCCTTCATCTTCTTCCTAGGGTGCTCGCCCTCGACATCACCAGGGTCATCGCGACTGACCTTTTAGCACAATGCACCGCATACCGGGCACGCATTCAAATCCTCGTACTCACCGCGGTAGAGGATGCAGTCATTAGAGCATGCATGTATCTTCTACATCTCTAATCCTAGAGGGCAGACAGCCTTCTTTGCTTCGTACGTACTCTCGGGTAATTCGTTGTCCTTTGAAAGCATCTTCTTTACTATTATCAGCAACTTATCAAATCCCTTGTCGGATACACCATTCTCTGCCTTTTATTGCAGCAATTCCAGTGTGGTGCCGAGCTTTTTCTTGTCAGCTTCGCAATTTGGGTACAAGAATTTCTTGTAGTCCTCTAACATGCGCTGCAACTTCAGCCTCTCCTTCCCACTTGCGCAGTTTCTCTTTGCATCGGCAGTGGCCTGACCTAGATCATCAGCGGGGCTCATCTGATGCCTCTTCTTCAGCTTCTTCCCGCATTGTCGGCTCAGCTTCTTCCCGCATTGCTGGCTCAGCTTCATCCCCCATTATTGTACCATCGTATTCGGGGAACCCATGGCTAGGATAGCTGACGTCGTCCTCTTCTTCATTGTCTTCCATCATAACCCCTCTTTCTCCATGCTTGGTCCAAACATTATAGTGGGGCATGAAACCGGACTCAAACAGGTGGACGTGAATGGTTTTTGACTTAGGGTAATTCCGATCATTCTTACAGCCAACACATGGACAAGACATAAAACCATCCACCCGCTTGTTTGCCTCAGCCGCAAGCAGAAAAGTATGCACGCCATTAACGAACTGGTGGGAGCATCGGTCATCATACATCCATTGTCGGCTCATCTTTATTACACAGCACCGAAAAGACCAAATTAATACAAGTTCATACATAAAGTTTCATACACACTTATTCTCATAAAACAACATACAAACTCTCTAGCTAAAGTATTTAAATGCAACAACAAATGCGATCAATATAGCAACTAAGGTAACAATTGATCCAACATCATAATAATACCAAGCCTCACTATCAATGGCATATTTTCTAATCTTTCTAATCTTCAAGCGCATTTTCTCCATCTTCATCTTGTGATCATCAACGAAATCGGCAAGATGCAACTCCAATTCCATCTTCTCATCCTCAATTCTTTTCAATTTTTCTTTCAAATACTCGTTTTCATTTTTCAACTAAATTTCACCTCTCGACAATAGGGTCGATTGAAATTTTTGGTTCACATACCTCCTAGATAAAAATATCTATATCAACTTGATGGGCATAATTTTTCATAAACACGAAATGCAACAAATAGTTATAGAAGAGAATATACCACATCCGAATCATAAACCGGACGAGGGCCGACGGGGACAGATATCAAAACCATGGCACTATGTACAACAAACAACATACGGGTAAGATAATTATACAAGTAACTATATATCTAAATCACACAAAACATGATTTTTTTTATATAAAAAAATATAAGAACAAGAGGCTCACCACAAGGTGGTGCCGGCGACGGGACGGTGAAGGCGATCGACGGTGGTTAGGACGGAGACGGGAAGGTACTAAGTAAGCCACACCTACATATGCAAACTAAGAGTTATTTTGGGCTCAAATTGCATATAAATCAAATAAACTACCACATATAATTCCTCCCAAATTCCTAAAACTCACAAATTAGTCACTATATAGAGCATTGCAAGAGCTAATCTAGCAATGAGAGATGAAAGGACAAAGTTGCTAACCTTTGTGATCACTTGAATGGATGGGGGCCTTCAAATCTTGACAAAATTTAGGCAAAATGTGTGATAAGCTCGAGGAAGAGGGGAAGAACAAAGAGGAGAGGAAAGGAAAGGGAAGAATAGAGAGCTCGGGCTGGACGAAGGGTTTTATATAGAGGCATCTTTAGTCCCGGTTGGTTACGAACCAGAGTAAAGGTATATCTCTAGTCCCGGTTCGTGCCACGAACCGAAACTAAAGGTGTTGGTGGGGCCGCAGACCAGCCTGCCACCACCTTTTTAGTCCCGGTTCGTGGCATGAACCAGGACTAGAGGTTCGCCATTAACCGGGACTAATGACCAGCGCCCGCCTAGCCGTTGGAACCGGCACTAATGGTCATATTAGTGCTGATTTAATTACAAATCGGGACTAATGAGCTTCACATTATGTCCTTTTTCTACTAGTGTTTGCATGAAGTCCTTTTGCGTTTGTCGTACAAAACTATGCTTTTATTTGCGTGCAAACTATGTTTTGTTGTTTGAATTTGAACTCAATTGTCGGAATCGCTGTCAAATTCACTTATTGAGGGTTTTCAGTTTGCGGGTCGACGCGGGCTGCGGCCGAGCAGACCCCGCGTAGCCAACCCGTAAGAGACAATATTCTACGAATATCATTTTTTACGGATCCGTTTTTGCGAGGTCTGACTCTGCCGCCGTCCACGCCGCCCCACAAAGCCGTTTTCCGCGAACTGTATACGCATTTTGCGGGCCGGTATTATACGGGGTCTGCTAGAAATGCTCTTATGTCATGTGATTTCTGGGTTGGCACATGTGACGCATCAATTGTGTTACATTGATCGTAGCAGATTTGAATCTAACAATGAGCGAAAATCATAGTTAAAATTATGAAATGAAGATCTGAACAAGTGAAGCACACCTTATATTTTAGGAAGAAGGGAGTACTTTATATCCGAGCAAATTTTTTGAGAAAGGGAAAAGCTCTGCCCACCGGGAAAAAGAACAGAAAAAAAAATCTTGTCTTTCCCTTCTCTCTCTCGTCTCATCCGCCTCGCCGCCGGGGGATCGCCGGCCGGACCCCATCCCGCAATGCCGCGCCTCCGCCTGCCTCTGCTCCTCCTCCTCCCCGTCACCTTCACCATCTCCGTCCTCCTCTTCCTCTCCTCTTCCCCTCCCCTGCCCCCGCCACAGCCCCCCATCCCCTGCGGCGCCGCCCCCTCCGACGCCACCGCCGGCCGCTGGGTCCCGACCCCGTCCCCCCCGCCGCCTCCCCTCTACACCAACTCCTGCCCCTTCCACCGCAACGCCTGGAACTGCCTCCGCAACGGCCGCCCCCGCGTCGCCGCGCTCTCCTGGGCCCCCTCCCGCTGCGGCGCCGTCCCGAGGCTCGATCCCGCCGCGTTCCTCGCGGCGGCCAGGCGGCGCCGGATCGGGTTCGTGGGGGACTCGCTGTCGGAGAACCTGGTCGTCGCGCTGCTCTGCGCGCTCCGGTCCGGCGACGGCGGCGCGCGCAAGTGGAAGCGCCGCGGCGCGTGGCGGGGCGGCTACTTCCCCCGAGACAATGTCGTCGTCGCGTACCACCGCGCCGTGCTGCTTGCCAAGTACACGTGAGTCCTACCACCATGTCTGCTCAGTGCTGCTCCATGATTCTTGTGGATTGCACACAAGATCAATGCTTTATGTGAGAAGAAACTTTTATTAGGATGAACTGTAGATCTATCTTGCTTAGGGTAGTCGCATTTAGGATCCAGACAGCTAGAATGCATCTTTGTGTTTTCTTTAGTAGGGTGGACGAACTGTAGATAGATAGGAGTACAACTAGATGTGTCCATGGCTGCTTATAAGAATTCAGTTTGCTTGGTTTGTTTGTGATATGTGTATGCAAAAAAGAGAGGAAGTTTGATAATCAGGGACAGTTACTGTGACAGGGGATGCCGCAAGCATGAGTGTGCAATACTAGTACTTTTTAAATAATCTCGGAAGATAATTCGGGTGATGCATTTCTTTTACCCTCCAGAAATCTGGATGACTTGCACTTCTAGTTATTTGGTTTCGAAGAACTGTGGTTGGTTTCATGATTCATCATCATTGGTGTGTGAGGGACTCAAACTTAACTGTGGCGGTAGTTCTGCTCTCTTAAGAGAAATCAGGAATTATTCCATAGCAAGTGGCGTCATGGTGCTACATGCTTAATCTCTGCAGTGGTTGGCTGCTGAGCACAATTCTGTAGTTTTGTCTGCCGAACAGTGATTTCTTGTGCTATTTCTTTCGTTTTTATTGTAGGTTGCAACACATGCTCTTTACTCTCAGATCCACGCAAGAAAAAGCATTTTCCAGATGCAGAAGTATATTAATGCATAAGAATACATCTTTGTCAATTTTATGAAATTGAGATCTACCTATCGGAACATCCTTATGATTCTGATTGTCTGCCACATCCTTTACTTTGATGATTTCTTTGTAGATGTTAGCATTTTATCCTACTGTTACTGTGTGTTTTGTTTCCTATATCCATATGTTAGGAATGCATAGACAGTTCCGTTACTTTCATGATGTATGAGCTTCAGTAATGTGGATTTTTGTATCAGTAATTTAAAAGTTCATACTTATTAAACTTAAACTGATAGCATCTGACATTTCAACTGCAAAACTGCATGCACTTGTGCTTTTGTACACGAACAGGACTGTATGGTTTATATGATAAAATCTTAAAACTCACATGGTGATAACTAATGATACAAAGGTGGCAGCCTGTAGAGAATTCCAAACCTCAGAGTGATGGAATAACGGGAACTTACAGAGTTGATGTTGACATTCCTGCTGATGATTGGGCAAATATCACAGAGTTCTACGACGTGCTCATTTTCAACACTGGACACTGGTAAGTATTTACCTTGATGTTTTGTTACTGTGTGCACGCTAACATAGGGTGAAACTTTAATTTCGTTCAAGGGGTACTGAGTTTCTTCATGAGTTTCGTAAGATAATATTTAATAAGTGCTAACACTGCATATTCTCTATGTTGGAACTACTTGGAAACTGGGCTGTTTGTGTCTAGGAAAAGCCTTTTTTCCTGTCAGTGTTGAAATGTTATTTGTTTTAAACTAGTATGTATGCACGTGCAATGCACGTTTTAACTTTATAGGGTGAATTTTTGCAGGAAAAAACATAGACTTGCCGATTGATTCGAAGCAAAAAAAATCCTGATTTACTGATGCTGAAATAAATTACATAGTATTATAAAGAAAGTCGGAATTAATATATGCAATCACCACAATATGTTAATAAAGAATCCCGTAGAAAATGTTAATAAAGAAAAGAATTAAAAAATGGAATTTAACTTTACTTTATATTTCTCCCTCGAAACCACTTTTTTGGGTTCAACTCATTGCCAACCTCAAGCTACAACATGTTTGGCCCAAGAGGAATCAGTTTGGGCCATATCTCTTGAGAAGTATCAGGTGGTTCATTCTAGAACATGGTGGATGCAACAACCATGCACTGTTCACTGCGAATCCCACAACTTTCAGCCGTTGGATTTAGGACATAAATGGTTAGGATTGATGGCTAGCTCTTATTCAAAACTCGTACACTATATAGTAGTATAGATATAGATTTCCGGGTATACGTACCATTGTGAAATAAAAATCCTGTGTTAACTAGCATGGCAATGTGTATTGCTCTTATACATTCCTTCTATTTTGTGGCAACTATATTTGTAGTTTGGTTATGAGTCATGACTGCGATTCTCATTATCAGGTGGGGCCCGGATAAATTCCCAAAAGAGACTCCCCTTGTTTTCTACCGAGGAGGAAAACCAATCGAGCCTCCACTCGGCATCTTTGATGGACTGAAGGTAGTCGTCAAAAGTATGAGCTCGTACATCGAAAGGGAGGTCCCAAGTACAACAATGAAGCTGTGGCGCACACAATCACCCAGGCACTTTGAGGGAGGCGAATGGGATCACAACGGCAGTTGCTTGTCTAAGAGGCTCCTCGAAGAACACGAGGTACCATTCTAGGTCCAAGCTTTTCATGATCTGACATTTTCCTCAAAAAAATAAAATTAGTCATGACCCCCCTAAAATCCTGTGCAGCTGGATTCTTGGTTCGATCCCAGGTTTGGGGGAGTCAACAAGGAAGCGAGATTAGTGAATTCAGTGATCGAGGAAGCGCTAGTTGGCACGGATATCCAGCTGCTCAACCTGACCTACATGAGCGAGTTCCGCGCCGACGCCCATCCAGCTATCTGGCTCGGGAAGAAGGACGCGGTGGCCGTCTGGGGGCAGGACTGCATGCACTGGTGCCTGCCAGGCGTACCGGACGCGTGGGTCGACATCTTGACCGCGCGGATCTTGCACTACTTCAAGCAGGGCAATGGCTGACGCCGTGTGCGCTGAAGTTCAGGCCTGTAAACTGTCTGCTGGAAGGAAGATAATGCTGAGCTCGGTGCTTGCAGCGATACGAACCCGAATTTTCATCTGAAGGCGAGATGAGATCGTTCACTAGAGCGCCGCGAGCCGACTGTTCGGAATCTTGTTTTGAGAAACAATGCTGGTGTAGTTGGTCTGTCTGTCATACTGATTTTGGGATTGCGCTTTGGAACAAATTGCAGCCCTTGCAATTCCAGATGTAAAACTTGACTGCAAATGGGTATCTCTCTGTATCTGTAAATGCAGCATATTTTTGGACGTGCGGCTCAGCTCACGGCCACTGAATGTTTATGTTCTTCAATTTTTGTTTCTCTCGTCTACCTCTGACACTGCAGTCATGCTTTCTTCTTATAGGTGGTGTAGTCCCGAGGGCCTGAAAAAACTTACGCAGATTGCAACAAAAAAAAATGGCACCACTAGAATGCGTACATGCAAAAAAAAAAAAAATACTCCCTCCGTCCTAAAATAAGTGTCTTAACTTTGTACTCCCTCCGTTCCTAAATATTTGCCTTTTTAGAGATTTTAAATGGACTACCACATACGATGTATATAGACATATTTTAAAGTGTAGATTCACTCGTTTTGCTCTATATGTAGTCACTTGTTGAAATCTCTAGAAAGACAAATATTTAGGAACGGAGGGAGTATTAAAGTTAGTACTAAGCTTGAGACACTTATTTTGAAACGGAGGGAGTATATCCAAAATGCGTTGCACCGCTGTGTCAAGTCTAAAGTCTCTTTGGATTAGAATTTCATTCCTAGTGGTATATCCAAAATGGTGGCTAAGAATGATGCTTCCCCGACTCTGGTCCAACTTGTGTTGGCATAGACTTGTGGTTGGATGGTGAGGAGGACAGTGGTATTCTTTGCCCACCAGAGTTTCAGTCTCGAACTTAACATTGGTGCTTGCGTTTTTTTGGGATTTATTTCAGGCCTTCCGGCGAGGTGCTGGCATTTTTCTGGATTTATTTCAGCCTTTCTGGCGATGTGTGTTCAGTGGAAGGAGACGTTCTCATTGACTATGAAGGCGTCTGTGACAACTTCATGAATCTCAAGATGATGTGCCTGCTCAGTCTCTTAGAGGTGCTCGTAGGGGTAGGGTGTACGTACGTGCACTCATAGAGACAAGAGTATCTATGTTTATATGAGCATTTGCGTCTGCACTGTGTTAAAAAGAACTCGTGGTGTCATAGAGGGTGAGGGGTTGTCTTGTCACTGCTTTTTATGGAGCGGGGGATCTGGTTGCATCTTTGTGTTATATAAGGGTGGTCATCGAAAGTGGATAACGTCGTTTCGTGTTTTGGTTCTCTGGCTCGTTCTTCGACCGGTGACGTCTAACCAGTTTTGAGTTTGTTAGGTTATGTCTCCCTTGATCTATCTAGCTGGATTTGGGACTGTCGTCTAGCCCTCTGCACCGCCTTCTTCTTTGAGAAAACGACCAATTTCTCAGAATATTGTCACTGGCATCTCCCGTCTCCGACCTACAATATCTCGGCCACAACATAAACAAGGTTTCCCTGAATTTGATTTGATGGTGTTTCAGATGTCTACAAGTGGTGTTGAGCTTTGCTCGTGTCATGTCGCCGACATGGAGACCCGAAGCAACGTGAGGACAGAAGCTTGAAAAAATAAGGCCAGACATTCAGACCGATAGCCAAGCAATATCTGACTCTTAACAGAAGGTTGAAGCCCTCAGTAGGACACCGCTCAGAATGTCAGACCCATGGCTGATCCAATGTCCGACCAATATTCAACTCTTAACAGAAGGTTGCAGGGTTTTCTCTCTGGGCCAGGCTAGAGGTTTTGACTTGTTGGACGAGGTTTTGAGTCATTCCCTTGTGTATAGGAAGTGCATCCGACTCATATATAGATCAGTAGTGACGATTGATTGAGCAATACACAATCATCAAGCCAATTTGTCACTTTTACCTTTACATTGTTTATCTCTCACTCGTTTTCTTCATGTTCGACGATAGCAAACATTGATGCGTTGGTGATCAGGTTGACCTACGGCAGCCCATAACCGCTACACTCCCAGGTGGGATCCCTCGTGAGTGTGTGAGGGTTCAGGTCCTCTAAAAACGTAGTCGACATGTCCTGCGCACCACGCTTCAGACGTGACTCCTTCAACGACGTGTGCTTTTCATACTGCACTCAGCGTTGGGGGTACATAGAGACGTGTTTATGTGTGAACACACTTTTTAAGGGAATTAGTTGGGGACGAAGTGCTAATGGTCCACCATGATCGTTGTGGCCCCAAAGAGATCATCACCAAGGGTTTGCAAAAACACCGTGGTAATATGAATACACAATTCACTTACGTAGATGCAAATAATTCATATTTTAATAATGTTGCTAGATCTTTTAACGAGGATAATTTATCGGCTAGACCTAGTTTTTTAATTCTACACCTAACTGTGTGCAAGAGTCGATGAACAATATTTTAGTTGCTTTAACTTCATATAATGTCGGCAACATGCAGCATGTGTATTTGAATTCTCATGCATTGACAATCCCATAATTTCATATGCCAAATGATAGCATGATGAGTTCGGTTAATCAATTTAAAATCCCCCATGTTAGGACCTCGAATAGTATGCAGAAAGTATTTAACCATTTAACCATCGACAAATAATTCACAACACAGTAGTCCAAACATGTGGATGGATAGGGTAAGTGGACATATACTACTTGCTATTCAGTCAATTACCCTAAACTTTCATAAGCTGCATCTCATGTTATAAAATTTCAGCGCCATGTGCAACCGCTGATATTCATAGTTCAGCTCCGCGCCTCACAACGATCGATCATAGCCGAATAAGTGAAAATTCCACAAGAGGCTACAATGTTGGTGAGCTTTTACTCTACAGAAAATCGGTGTAGTTAGATACTTTTGCTCTATGTACAAGATTATTATAGTTGGATTCATCTACTTTTTGATTGTATACCTGAACTATGCACGTATATACGATTATGACTGTGTGCGTCAATTGATGCAGGGGCCGGGGGTATGTCCTCCTTCTCGAAAAATATAAAACGTATGTGTGGTTGGATCTGTTATGTGTTTGGAATTGTTGGGTGAATCGGACGGCGGATATCGAATCAAATCCACCGCGGCGACGTGAAGAAAAAACAAAGCGGGGCCCGACTCCAACTCCTCCCTCTCTCTCTCTCTCTCTCCAGAACAGCTCAGGGGAAAAAATCGAATCCCCTCTGCGAGCAGAAGCGAAGCATCCGAACCTCCGAGGCGAGGCAGATTGGTTCGCGGGGCGGCGCGGGAGGAGGCATCGCCGGCGGCGAGCTCGTCTTACCCTACCGCGCGCGGGACAGATACGTCGTCCTCCGCCGGCGCGAGCAATGGCGGCGGCGCCGCGGGACGAGGAGGCGGCGGCGTGGTCGGAGGAGGCGGCGCGGCTGGTCTGGGGCGGCGCCGTGCCACTCCAGGTCCACCTCCACGACGCCGACGTCACCGCGCTCCCACCGCCCCCGCCCTTCCTGGTAAGATGCCGCCCCCCATCGACTGTGCGCGCCATCCCAAATCTCAAATCTCGGCACTGCGCGATTCCCGCGTTCTTGGATTCCAGAATCACAGGTGCTGATAGGTTATAGTCCAGATTGCTTGCTCTCGTAGGAATTTTAGACCCTTGGATGAAGATCTCGAGGTCTTCTGGCCTGCCCGTGAGCTCCAAAAGCCTGGATTTTAAGGCAAACCCTCACCAAAGCTTGGTACTTTTTTCTTGCATAATATGAGCATGGAGTTGATTCTGCTTACAGAGTCTTTTCTAGTATGCTCCACATCCTGTTTAGGTAATTAGCTGAGTTTGCTGCAGGCAGCAGGCATTCTCTTCATATGTTTGATGTGCTGGGAAAAAAAGATAAAACATTTACAAATCTCACTTGCTGCTGTATGAAATTCCTGTGTTCCCCTTTCACATTGCTATCTATTTTAGGGCATGTACAATGTTTGGTAGGCAGTCTTATATTAATCCTGCCATGTATAATCTAGAGCTGACAAAAAAGTATGGTGTGCAATGGGTTGTCTCATAATCTTATCTCTATTAACTAGATATTCCTAAAAAATGTGGTGAAAGATTTTGTTGCTAAGAGACCATCTCTTATATCTATTTTAGCTTGCAGCCCAAGCTGTTAGCCATGTGAGATCATTGTTGCTCGTTTTTGTTGGCATCTTTTGTTGCAAAGAGTTTCCACATGACTGCCACTATTTCTTTTAGCACGTACATTACATTACTGCTATTTTCACTCCTGCCAAAGCGTTTATTTTCCTTTCCACAGGAGTATATATATTTCATTTATTGACCTTTATTATTTTGTCTACAACAGACCTTAGGGCCAAGAATTGGGTATTTTCCATTGTTGGTGTCGACTATAAAGGCTCATTTCAGCAGCTCACTCCCACCAGGTGTTGATACTGTTTGGTTTGAGTATAAAGGGCTGCCACTGAAATGGTAACATATGTTATCTCTTACTAATATTAATGATGGTCTATCACCTTATGAAATCTTGAGAACCCATGTTATTGTTGTCGCTTTTATTTGCTGACAGCGCTTTTTATGTTCGCATTGTTAGGTATATACCCATCGGTGTTCTTTTCGACCTTCTCTGTGCAGATCCAGAAAGGCCATGGAATCTAACAGTAAGGCTATGAGTCCTCTAGCAGTTTTGTTTAGACACGTCTTTTATGATTTGTTTAATTTGCAAGTTGTTTTTCTGGTGTTGAAGGTTCATTTATACCTTAATGGGACGCTGGATTAGTAGAAACCTTTTGATTAACCATGTGCATTTTCTCTTAACGTTTAAGTTTGCTGGAAATACTGTTAGAGATTTATGCCAAATGTTCTCAGGATCTAGTTAGTTACTTAACTCAGCAATTAAGTCCAATAAATTACCAATTAGAGTGCAAACATATTTATATGCTCGCCACACATTTTGTA